TGGTTAAATATCACTATTTTGACATGTTCTAATGTACGGAAGAGTATCAAATCAAATTGTATTTTTCACATGCTTCGTAAACAACAGGTGTAGACTAACAGTGAAATGCTTACTTATGGCCCTTCCCAACAATGCAGAGAGACAAATTTAGAAATAATAATAATAAAAAAAAACACCAGGAATAAATACACAATGAGTAACTTGGCTATATACACGGGGTATCAGTACCAAGTCGACGTGCAGGGGTACGAGGTAATTGAGGTAGATACAGTGAGGGAAAAAAGTATTTGATCCCCTGCTGATTTTGTACGTTTGCCCACTGACAAAGAAATGATCAGTCTATAATTTTAACGGAAGGTTTATTTGAACAGTGAGAGACAGAATAACAACAACAAAATCCAGAACAACGCATGTCAAACATTTTATAAATTGATTTGCATTTTAATGAGGGAAATAAGTATTTGACCCCCTCTCAATCAGAAAGATTTCTGGCTCCCAGGTGTCTTTTATACAGGTAACGAGCTGAGATTAGGAGCACACTCTTAAAGGGAGTGCTCCTAATCTCAGTTTGTTACCTGTATAAAAGACACCTGTACACAGAAGCAATCAATCAATCAGATTCCAAACTCTCCACCATGGCCAAGACCAAAGAGCTCTCCAAGGATGTCAGGGACAAGATTGTAGACCTACACAAGGCTGGAATGAGCTACAAGACCATCGCCAATGATCATGAGAACGGTGAGGAATCAGCCCAGAACTAAACGGGAGGATCTTGTTAATGATCTCAAGGCAGCTGGGACCATAGTCACCAAGAAAACAATTGGTAACACACTACGCCGTGAAGGACTGAAATCCTGCAGCGCCCGCAAGGTCCCCCTGCTCAAGAAAGCACATATACAGGCCCGTCTGAAGTTTGCCAATGAACATCTGAATGATTCAGAGGAGAACTGGGTGAAAGTGTTGTGGTCAGATGAGACCAAAATCGAGTTCTTTGGCATCAACTCAACTCGCCGTGTTTGGAGGAGGAGGAATGCTGCCTATGACCCCAAGAACACCATCCCCACCATCAAACATGGAGGTGGAAAAATTATGCTTTGGGGGTGTTTTTCCGCTAAGGGGACAGGACAACTTCACCGCATCAAAGGGACGATGGACGGGCCCATGTACCGTCAAATCTTGGGTGAGAACCTCCTTCCCTCAGCCAGGGCATTGAAAATGGGTCGTGGATGGGTATTCCAGCATGACAATGACCCAAAACACACGGCCAAGGCAACAAAGGAGTGGCTCAAGAAGAAGCACATTAAGGTCCTGGAGTGGCCTAGCCAGTCTCCAGACCTTAATCCCATAGCTGAAGGTTTGAGTTGCCAAACGTCAGGCTCGAAACCTTAATGACTTGGAGAAGATCTGCAAAGAGGAGTGGGACAAAATCCCTCCTGAGATGTGTGCAAACCTGGTGGCCAACTACAAGAAACGTCTGACCTCTGTGATTGCCAACAAGGGTTTTTCCACCAAGTACTAAGTCATGTTTTGCAGAGGGGTCAAATACTTATTTCCCTCATTAAAATGCAAATCAATTTATAACATTTCTGACATGCGTTTTTCTGGATTTTGTTGTTGTTATTCTGTCTCTCACTGTTCAAATAAACCTACCATTAAAATTATAGACTGATCATGTCTTTGTCAGTGGGCAAACATACAAAATCAGCAGGGGATCAAATACTTTTTTCCCTCACTGTATGTACGTATTGGATAAAGTGACTAGGCAACAGGATAGATAATAAACAGTAGCAGCAGCATATTTTATGAGTCAAAAGAGTTAGTCCGCGTAGCTATTTGGTTAACTACACTACATGGCAAAGTATGTGGACACCCCTTCAAATGAGTGGATTCGGCTATTTCAGCCACATCTGTTGCTGACAGGTGTATAAAATCGAGCACACCACCATGCAATCTCCATAGACAAACATTGGCAGTAGAATGGCCCATACTGAAGAGTTCAGTGACTTTTAACGTGGCACCGTCATAGGATGCCACCTTTTCAAAAAGTCAGTTCGTCAAATTTCAGCCCTGCTAGAACTGCCCCGATCAACTGTCAGTGCTGTTATTGTAAAGTGGAAATGTCTAGGAGCAACAACGGCTCAGCCACGAAGTGGTAGGCCACACAAGCTCACAGAACGGGACTGCCGAGTGCTGAAGCACGTAGCTGAATCCTCTGAAAGCAACGTCAGCACAAGAACTGTTCATTGGGATCTTCATGAAATGGGTTTTCATGGCTGAGCCTCCGCACAGTGCCAAGTGTCGGCTGGGGTGGTGTAAAGCTCGCCGCCATTGGACTCTGGAGCAGTGAAAACGCGTTCCCTGGAGTGATGAATCACGCTTCACCATCTGACAGTCCGACGGACAAATCTGGGTTTGGCGGATGCCAGGAGAACGCTACCTGGCCCAATGCATAGTGCCAACTGTAAAGTTTGGTGGAGGAGGAATAATGGTCTGGGGCTGTTTTTCATGGTTCGGGCTAGGCCCCTTAGTTCCAGTGAAGGAAAATCGTAATGCTAGAGCATACAGTGACATTCTAGACGATTCTGTGCTTCCCACTTTGTGGCAGCAGTTTGGGGAAGGCCCTTTCCTGTTTCAGCATGACATTGTCCCCGTGCACAAAGCGAGGTCCATACAGAAATGGTTTGTCGAGATCGGTGTGGAAGAACTTGACTGGCCTGCACAGAGCCCTGACCTCAACCCCATTGAACATCTTTGGGATGAAATGGTACGCCGACTGCGAGCCAGGCCTAATCACTCTACATCAGTGCCCGACCTCACTAATTCTCTTGTGGCTGAATGGAAGCAATCCCCGCAGCAATGATACAACATAGTGGAAAGCCTTCCCAGAAGAGTGGAGAATGTTATTGCAGCAAAGTGGGAACCAACTCCATATGAATGCACATGATTTTGGAATGAGATGTTCGACGAGTATGTCCACATACTTTTGGTCATGTAGTGTATTTCATCCAAGTCCTTGTGGTTACATACATACTGTAGGTAGAGACAGTTGGGTTGTGTGTGTAGCAGTCTTATGGCTTGGGGGTAGAAACTGTTCAGGGTCCTGTTGGTTTCAGACTTGGTGCATCGGTACTGCTAGCAGTGCAGTAGCAGAGAGAACAGTCTATTTTAACAGAGCAGTACTCGGTGGCTGGAGTCTTTGACACATTTTTAGGGCCTTCCTCTGTCACAGCCTGGTATAGAGGTCCTGGATGGCAGGAAGCTCTGATGTACTGGGCCGGACGCACTACTATTTAGGGCCTTAGGGCCAAGTGAAGAGAATAAATAAATAAATGGTGATGGGTAGTGTGGTACATTGATTTTTTTCTTTCACAGATAGTACTTTAAAAACTTTAAATACTTAATAAAGTTGAAATTACATATTTTTTTAGAATAAAGTCAAAATACAATTTTGTAACTAAAGTGGCAATATTTCTAGAATAAAGTGGGAATAATTTGAGAATAAAGTGGCAATATTTTGAGAATAAAGTGGCAATATTCGAGAATAAAGTCGCGGTTGTATTTCAAAATGAAAGTACGGGATTTGGTTATTAATTGCATGCCTCTGGCTCCCTGTTGCTGTGTGCGCTATTTACTAAAGCCAGTTCTATACTTTAGAACTGGCTTTAGTAATAAGGAAATCCTTGCTCGTTTAGCACATAATAACCAAATGATTAATAACTATTAGGACCAGGAAGAGGTTGTGCCACAGATTTAGTGTTTCCAGAAGGAGGAACCACACGGACTTGGATGAGGTATTTTATCCAAGTCCGTGTGGAGACGGGCGGGTTGGGTGTTGTGGGCAAAACAAACAAATGGCCATCAATCTAATGATCTAATAAACTCGTTCAAACAGTCGTCACGGGGCACTCAAGCTTATCAATCTAATAACTCGCACGCACACACTCAAGTTTCCTCCTGGCAATTTCAGACTATAGTCATACACTCTTCTAACGGCCATGTTGCGTTATGAGCACAAACAAAAAACTATCTTGGCACTGTCACTGAACGCAAAGAGAACTGGGGTTGAGTCCCTTTCCGTCTGCTATCCGAATTCGCTTCGATGTTCTTCTGCGTAGCCAAGGCGAACACCTTGCAAAAATTATGTGCATAATGGAAACTATTAACGACCATGGTGCTTTACTAACGTTAGTATTCCCCCCTTATGGCAACTATGCTTCTAACGACTATCGGCTAGTAGGCTACGCGAGCACACCCAATAAAACGAATGATTCCTTTCTTAAAATAATAATTGATCTAAATATAGGCCTATTAGATAAACGATGATAGGCTATAAAGAAATAATCCCTGATCTGACATGACTTGGATGGCACACACACACAACCCACTTGTCTCAACCTATGTAGTGTATGTAACGACACCGACATGGAGGAAATACCTCATTCGAGTCCGTGTGGTTCCTACTTCTGAAAATAATCTGTCACAACCTATTCTAGGTCCTAATACTTATAATAATAGGATTATTATGTGCTAAAGGAGCAAGGATTTCCTTGATACTAAAGCCAATTCTAAAGTATAGTTTCACCAGGTCATCTACCTCAGGTACAGTATTTCAACAGCGGAGCGCACAGCACCAGGGAGCCATGGAGGCATGCAGTTAACCAAATCCCCTATATAAATATAAATATAACTGCGACTTTATTCTCAAAATGTCCATTTTATTCCCAAAATTTTGACTTTATTCTCGAAACATTTGTTTGTTTGTTTATTATCGAAATATTTACACGTTATTCTCGAAATATTGACACTTTATTCTCGAAATATTGTCACTTTTTTAAAGTACTATCCGTGCAAAATAAGATCATCCAAGTACCACCACCCATCTCCATTTACTTATTCTTTCTCTTCACTTGGCCCGAATACTCTTCCATACTAATGAGACCATTTCGATCTACCAATCTAACCTCAATCTTCTTCTTCTTCCTCTCCCATCTAGTCAAGTTGTGGTCGAGAGCCCTGTACGACCACTGCGGTCTCTGGTGCGGTCCTGTTTCATCTTCCTCCTCTTCCTGTCCACGGTCATCTTGATCATCCTCTTCGCTATTCCTGCCAGCTCCTTCCAGCCAGACTGGTGGGACAACCTATCACTGTACACATACTACCATAGATGGACCATCCCCATCCATCCCCATGGACCATCCCCAACCACAGTACCAGCCCCACCCCCAACCACCGTACCCCTAACCACAGTACCAGCCCCACCCCCAACCACCGTACCCCCAACCACAGTACCAGCCCCACCCTCAACCACCGTACCCCCAACCACAGTACCAGCCCCACCCTCAACCACCATACGCCCGCCACCAACCAATCAATACCACTTTGGCCACCCTCGTAACTTCCACTTCATCATGGACGAACCGGACAAGTGTAAGACCCAGACCCCGTTCCTGGTGCTGATGGTCCCTGTGGCGCCCGGTAACCTGGCTGCCCGGGACGCCATCCGCAGGACGTGGGGTACTGAGACCCTGGTGCAGGGGAAGAAGGTACAGACGCTATTCATGCTAGGACTTCCTGGAGGATCAGGTGCTCAGGAGCTGCAGGAGAAGGTTGGTCTTATTGTTGTAGCTTTTTTTAGTGTTGTGTTTATTGTTTTAAGTGTGTTGGGGTTGTTAATATTTAAATAAAGTTTGATTTGATTTTGATTTGATTGTAACTTGATCTGACCTAACTTTGACTTTGACTCGATTTTGTCTTGACTTTGATTTGAAGGTGAACCAGGAGAGCCAGGTGCATCATGATCTACTCCAGAGCAACTTTCTGGACTCCTACCTCAACCTCACCATTAAGACCATGGTGATTATGGACTGGCTGGCCACTCACTGCACCAATTCCACCTACGCCATGAAGATCGACTCAGACATGTTCCTCAACGTAGAGAACCTGATAACTATGTTGCTGAGAGCGGACGTCCCCAAGGTGAACTTTTTTTTAAATGTTATTTTATTCAACCCAACCTCCACCTCTTTAGGGGATAGTTTTTGTTACTATAACAGTCTGTCTGTCTGTCTGTCTTTTTAATTTACTAAGTTACAGTTTATTCTTTTTTTCCCCCTTCTAAATCTTTAATAATTCTATATAAAGATTAAATTCCATTCCTATTTCCCAAGGTGAACTACCTGACGGGGATGCTGATGTGGGATCGACCAGTCATCCGGAACCCTAACTCCAAATGGTATGTTCCGGTCGAGATGTTAGCCGACAACCGCTACCCGACCTACACACTTGGTATGGGATACGTCTTCTCCAACGACCTGCCGGAGAGGATCGTGGAGATATCCAAGGACATCAAGCTTTTTAATATAGAAGACGCCTACATTGGCGCCTGTATGAAGAAACTGGGCCTCTCGCCCAGAAACTCACCCGATCCTTGGCAATGGAAGGCCTATCTCGGCAATTACAATCGCTGTGAATTTTCCAAAGTCATCACCTATATTTTGAGCCGCTCATCCCAGATAGTGGACTACTGGACGGACCTGAAAAAGACACCTGGTCCACCCTGTCCCTAGACACTGATCTAGGGTCCATTTTGTATTTTTAAGTATTTGGGGGGGAGGGGGGGTTCTACCGATTTAACATGTGGAACTGTTTTAAGATGGTCATACCATAGATCATTTAGCTATTTTATTTAGAATTTTAAGAGCCCTATAGGTATCCAAACAAATATATATATACCTGTATATATTGATGAAACCGTGGAATGACCCATTTGAGGTGGAAATGCCCTATTCACTTCCATTCTTTTTTCGGCCCGATACTGGGTTACCTTCAGAGGAGTCTTGTGAGGCTTGTGGGTGTCATAGAGCAAAACAACGAGTCTCAGCTTTCGATGGTGGGGTCATATTAGTTTGTAACCCAAACCGTTTGGACGCTACAGACAGAGGTTGGCACATCGGCGGTACCGTCTTCAGACAGCCCAGTACTGGACTACGGTGTGAGGCTTAGAACTAAACAGAGAACACCGTCGTGTTTGTGAGAGTCTTAGCTTTCCATAGTGCTGTCATATTAATTTGTATAAAACCGTTTGGACTCTACAGACATTTTTGTGAGAAGACAGATTTTCGGGATGCCTCCTGGTCTGACAAACACTGCTGTAGCTCTTCCACCTTCCACCGCAGATGCGGAAGGCCGACATCGGCGGATGTGGTGGATTGAGACTCAGCCCATGCAAAAAAACGGATATCTCTAGCTTAAACAGACAGATTCTGATGGGGATTTATTTATTATGCTTATTCAATTTCCGCCTGGACATTGACTCTAGTACTAGTACTAAGATTCAGGGACTGTATCAGTGTTAGAGGGGCAACTTAGGTAGGGCGGCAGGTAGATGAGCGGCCAGTGTTGTGCCAGTAACTGAAAGGTTGCTAGTTCAAATCCCCTAAACGACAAGGTGAAAAATCTGTCGATGTGCCCTTAGCAAGGCATTTAACCCTAATTGCTTCAAGGTCGATGTTGATAATGACTGACCCTGGCTGTAACCCCACTCTCAGGGGGAGTTGGGATATGCAAAAAACACATTTTCTTTTCAAACGTGTATAAAACACACTTTTACATTTGTGAACAAGGACAAATATAAACACCCACTTGCTCCTGGAGCACCTTGTTAGGACTCAATTACCCATAATGACATTGGGTAGGGTAGGAAATACAGATGGGTGGTGGTGGTGGGTCTGGTCGAGATGATGAAGTTAGGTCATTGAGTAGTTCTGAACTTGCAATGGCTGGCGGAATGTGATATCTTACTTTCAAAGTCTTAATTCACAATGGTGGAACATACTTTGCAAAGGGATCTTTTGGGATTTTGGGATTATGAATCTCAGGAATCAAAACAAATCCAGACAGATAGGAGGATGGCATCAGCATCTTACTCTCTTGTAATACATGAACACTTTCAGAGGCCAGAACTAACACAAGATTTGGCTCTGCTCACACGAGATTTGGTTCTGGGTTACATGATCATCTGTCTACCAAATTACATTCTGTTGTGACACCATTCGAGAGACGGTGTTCTAGAAACCGTTTGGGTAACACACGTAATAAACATTGGTGAGAACCAAAAGCCATCCATTATAAATGATTCAGTCTCTACCTCTCAAAAACAATTTAAAGGATGATTCTGTTCATATAAAAAGTAGTTTCTGTCAAGATGTATTTGCCTATTGAATGAACAGTAACCTGTAGTCCTAGATCATGCCCAAACCAAGTAGAAAGATTTAACTGTATCAAATATTTAACACCATAAGCTTTTTATTTCACCGGGTGAGTTCTTTTTCAATTCAGTGACATCTACATTAATAATTAAGTCACATATAATGTTCAACAAAGCCTCCTTTTATTTCAGCATCAGTAAATTAAGTCACATATAATGTTACATAAAGCCTCTCTCATCCTATATTTGCTTAGCATGATAATATTCAAATCCTGTTTGACTTCTATGTACGTATTTCACAATTTATTTATTCACAGAACGGTTGACCGGAATAGAATAAGGTGTGTTCCGTTGTCAATGAAAGGAGTTCTGTTCTGTTGTCAACCTCCACAATGAAAGGAGGAGTCCATCATTATTCTCAGTCTGATGACTAGTGTTACAAAATAATATGATATGATTAATGACATTGGGAAGGTAATGCAGAAGGTTGCAGTACTGGAAATCTAGGAATCACAGCAGTTTGCTGAGGGGAGGATGACTCATAATAATGGCTGAAATGAAGTGAATGGAATTGTATCAACCACGTGGAAACAATGTGTTTGATACCGTTCCATTTATTCTGTTCCAGCCATTACTATGAGCCTGCTCTCCCCAATTAAGGTGCAACCAGCCACCTGTGCTCAGGAACATGATGGTGTGTGTGTCTATGTTCTTTTTCTTAATGACATCATCGTTGTGACAATATGAGCAATGATGATGTGATACATTTAAACCACTTTGAGATTATTTATGTTATGAAAAGCACAATAAAAGTTCAATAAATCATTTGGATTATTACTATCATAATCATTGACATGGTGAATGTATTGCAGTTGACAGCAGGGATCTTAAATAAAAAAGAGAGACAGGGTTTAACTGTCATAGATTTGTCTGGAAGAAAGGCTCTGTCTGAAATGTTAGCATTAAAGGCTACTTTATACTCTGCTCTCCTGTGTTGGTTTCTCTTGTTCTACCAAATAAACAACCCGATGGAAGGAAAGTGGGTCCATCCCAAATGGCACCCTATTTCATATATAGTGTACTACTACCCATAGGGCTCTGGTCAAAAATAGTGCACTATATAGGGAATTGGGTGCCATTTGGGACACAATGTGTGCTTGTGGTGAGAGAAAATGGTGAAGAGGAGACAAATACCATTGCTGACAGTCTTTCAACTCGTCAGGCAGGCAGGCAGGCAGGCAGTATAGGGCTGCATTCCTATGCTTAGACGTTGCCGACGCCTGCCAGATTTTACAATGCCTACATAGGTATTTTAAGTATCAGCTAACCACATCATGTTATAGCAATTTGTCAGTCAATGACGTAACATGCAACCATTGGTTGCTGCGTCGCCTTGCCTTAGCTGTTGAGCACACCCTAGGTCTGTCAGACCTCTCTATCTGCTTGGTTTTGTTAGGTCCCAACAAATCAGACCAACCAGAACGCGGCAACATTCAGCGGGGTGCAGGGGTGTAATCATTATGCAGATGATTACCATTTACTCCAAACGAGATACGCAAATAATAGTTTCTATTGGACAAATTCAGGTAGGCTCCTCCACGTTTCGTTCCGTTTGCTCCCGTTTGGTTCCTAAACGGTAAATGGTTTTCGTAATGAATACACCCCAGCCTTTAACCTCATGTCCACCAGATGCGTCGAATTGTTTGCTTTCCAGCGGAAGTCATTCATTGTCAATGGAACAGTCCGCAACGCTGAGTTGGGGATGCCGCCCACACTAGCATGCGGGGCATTCTTTGTACCGCATGCGTTCAATATTTTCAACTCGTGCGTTGCTGTACCGTGCGGTGGTACAAACAGAAGTTAATAAACAGTCAAGCCAGTTAGCAATCTAACTACAAAGCTAACCACTTTGCTAGATACACTACATGACCAAAAGTATGTGGACACCTGCTCATCGAACATCTCATTCCAAAATCATGGGCATGAATATTGAATTGGTCTTTCTTTGCTGCTACAACAGCCTCCACTCTTCTGGAAAGGCTTTCCACTAGATGTCGGAACATTGCTGCGGGGACTTGCTTGCATTCAGCCACAAGAGCATTAGTGAGGCCGGGCACTGATGTTGGGCGATTAGGCCTGGCTCGCAGTCGACGTTCCAATTCATCCCAAAGGTGTTCGATGGGGTTGAGGTCAGGGTTCTGTCCAGGCCAGTCAAGTTCTTCCACACCGATCTCGACAAACCATTTCTGTATGGACCTCGCTTTGTGCACGGGGACAATGTCATGCTGAAACAGGAAAGGGCCTTCCCCAAACTGTTGCCACAAAGTTTGAAGAACAGAATCGTCTGGAATGTCATTGTATGCTGTAGTGTTAAGATTTCCCTTCACTGGAACTAAGGGGCCTAGCCCGAACCATGAAAAACAGCCCCAGACCATTATTCCTCCTCCACCAAACTTTACAGTTGGCACTATGCATTGGGGCAGGTAGCGTTCTCCTGGCATCCGCCAAACCCAGATTCGTCAGTCAGACTGCCAGATGGTGAAGCGTGATTCATCATTCCAGAGAACGTGTTTTAACTGCTCCAGAGTCCAATGTTGGTGAGCTTTACACCACTCCAGCCGACGCTTGGCATTGCGCATGGTGATCTTCAGGCTTGTGTGCGGCTTCTCGGCCATGGAAACCCATTTCATGAAGCTCCCAACCAACAGTTCTTGTGCTGACGTTGCTTCAGGACAGACAATTTTTACGTGCTATGCGCTTCAGCACTCAGTGGTCCCGTTCCGTGAGCTTGTGTGGCCTACCACTTCGCAGCTGAGCCATTGTTGCTCCTAGACGTTTCCACTTCACAATAACAGCACTTACAGTTGACTTGTTGGAAAGGTGGCATCCTATGATGGTACCACGTTGAAAGTTACTGAGCTCTTCAGTAAGGCCATTCTACTGCCAATGTTTGTCTATGGAGATTGCATGGTTGTGCGCTTGATTTTATACACCTGCATTAACGGGTGTGGCTGAAATGACCGAATCCACTAATTTGAAGGGGTGTCCACATACTTTTGTATATATAGTGTATATCCATATTGGACTTTAGTAACCACATTGAGGGCCTGTTAGAATACATCAATCATGATGGATTTGACAAATATCCACTTTGTTAGATCAGATTTGTTGAATGTACGCCAATCCGGCTTCTTTCTTATATCCCCCACGATTTCATTGACCTCTTTGTATCTGTAGACATCCTCTATAGAACATACATGTTTTTCTGTGATGCAAAGTGTCAGCTATATACAATACATTTCTATCTGGAACTTTATAGAATGCTAAGATATAAATATATCCCGTAGAACAGATATACTTTTCAGTCAGGGCAATCGTTACAGTTAGTGAGTGCATTTATATCTGCCAGTTGTGGCCTCTCCTGACCTGGAGCCAGGTTTGCAGCCTGCTGAGTGTGCGATGTGTGGGAGGGGCTGTAGAGAAAAAAACAAAAGGCACCCAACCTACAGTAGCTCCTCCCCTACCTGTGGGCGGCCAATGCTCACATCACAGTCTTCAACATTCATTGAGGAAGTAGAAAGAAGACGTCAATCATTTGCCGTTGAGAGTCATGAGCAGGACTTGATACCAAGAGACAGACAACATGAGGTATGTGTCAATTGAAGCTGGAGTTTGTTTGTAGACATTGCGACATTATGTTGAGGGGGTGTGTGTGTTTGTTATATTTCTCCCTATCGCGATCCAGTCATCAGAAATGATGATTGTACTGAACGTCATAAAATATAGAACTTCAATTCCGGTTCTAGAGTAGGTTACTGAATGTGCGCAAACTTTAGTTCCAGCCCAGCGCTAACACGCCTAATTCAAACAAACCTACTGAAGACACAATGATGACAGGTGTTTTAGTGCTGGGGTGTAACAACAGCTAGCACACCTAGTAACTCGAGCGGTGTTGGATATCCATGATCTAACACTTGTCTTTCTTCATACGATGTAATTATTTATGTGATTGTCAGACAGCCAAGGAATAGTTATTGTAGCCTAACTACACCACCAGTACACCAGACGCAATTGTCTTCATAACAAACTCATGTAACAAGGGCAACGCAAACAGTGGTCATGCAATATAGCCTACTCTTGGTGCTTTCAAGACAACTGATAACATGACGCTGCTGCAACAGATGCCGCATTCAAAAGAACTGGGAACTCGGAAAAAAAACAAGCTCCGACTGGGAAAATTCGTTTGACCGGTCATCCAAATCGGAATTCTAAATCGGGAACTCGGGCCTCTTTCTAGAAAGCTGACTTTTCGACCTGGAGTTCACTGACGTCATGATTTCACCTCATTTCTTCCGAGTTCCCAGTGGTTTTTGAACGCGGCATCTGTTGCAGCAGCGTCATGTTATCTGTAATGTCTTTCATTATACAGTTGACCAATCTGTCTGATCATGCACCAATGACCATCTATAACTACTGTATGTTGCACCAGAGATAGCTACTGTGAAAACCTCAACTTCGGTTTCACTTCTGTTCAGCTGCACATAACACAATGCCACTACTCTTTTAGACAGACGGTATATTTTTCATTGATAATAACTGCAGACAGTCACATATCACTCGGTCTTATAGAGGTGTAGTATATGAGAGATCAATAAAAAAAACATGAGTATTCATCGTAATAACAATATATTCATGATTATATTTCTTGTTTGCTGTGTAAGGGGTGATTTCAAGAAATGTCTGTACTTTCAAATGGTACTTCTGCACAACATTGTGGCAGGAAGCATTGACCTACAAACTGTGAAGACCCCTCTCACTCTTTCTATCCTTTCTCTCTTCATCAGCCCAGCTCTGATGCAGTCCGGTACAGCCCTCTCCGGAAGGCTGTATAGAAGACCCTGTATTCTATTCATCCTGGTGGCAGTGGCTGTCTCCCTGACCTACACCACATTCACCTTGAATTGGTGGAACGACCCACAGCGACCCTTGGTAAACAATCACACTGGAAAGTCTCCTGATGATGATCAGGTGAACACGCGTGTCTTGGCCAATTGGAATGGTGTCCAATGGGAGGATCCCGGGCGGTACCACGTGGCGTACCCGCGGGGGTACAAATTCGTAATGGACGAGCCGGAGAAGTGTCGGACCGGGAGTCAGGCCCCGTTCCTGGTGCTGATGGTCCCCGTGGCGCCTGGTAACCCTACTGAAAATGTCACACAAGATTTACACATTCTGTTTGCAATTCTAACATGAAGTGACTTGATAACCTGTTTCCAATACATTTGAAATGTATTTAGGAACGAAAAATGCAATCCAAACTAGCTTTTTTTCAAGTGTTTGGGAAAGCAGACTGGAATAAATTGTTACAGTAAAATGTGTAATTATTGTATTTCCAACACATTTTTAACATGTACATTTCCGGTAGGTAACCTGGCCTCCCGGGACGCCATCCGCAGGACGTGGGGTAATGAGACCCTGGTGCAGGGGAAGAAGGTACAGATGCTATTCATGCTAGGACTTCCTGGAGGATCAGGTGCTCAGGAGCTGCAGGAGAAGGTTGGTCTTATTGTTGTAGCTTTTTTTAGTGTTGTGTTTATTGTTTTAAGTGTGTTGGGGTTGTTAATATTTAAATAGTTTGATTTGACTTGAGTTGATTGTGACTTGACTTGATTCTGATTCTGATTCGAAGGTGAACCAGGAGAGCCGGGCGCACCACGACCTCCTCCAGAGCGACTTCATGGACACCTACCATAACCTGACCATCAAGACCATGGTGATCCTTGAGTGGCTCGTCTCGCGGTGCCCCGAGGCCTCCTACGCCATGAAGATCGACTCAGACGTGTTCCTCAACGTCCAGAACCTTGTCTCCATGCTGGTCAACCCTGATACTCCAAAACAGAACTACATGACCGGTCTAGTCTGGTGGCACAGCCCGGTGCTGAGAAACCCCAACGAGAAGTTCTTCCTGCCTTATGAGGTGATCGCTGAGTCTGAGTATCCCCCGTACCCTCTGGGGTTTGGTTACGTCATGTCCATGGACCTACCCAAGAAGATCCTGGGGGTCTCTCCACAGATCAAGGTATGTTGAGCTTCATATTTTGCCAAACAAATGTTCCTATGTATGGAAGTATTCTTCTTTTGTTTTCTTTTTTTCGCTCATTAATTGGTAACACTTAACTAACGGTGGGGATTATGTAGCGTTCATAAAGCCATTCATTATTTAATTTATCCATCCATCCATCCATCCATCCATCCATTCATTCATTCATTGATCTCATTCAAGCCCATCTATATCGAGGATGCCTACCTGGGGATGTGTCTGAAGCGGCTGGGCATCTCCCCCACCGACCCTCCCAGCCAGTCGCTCTTTGCTGTCAACCCCTTGAACAGCTACGAGCTCTGCAAACTGTCCACTGTGGTTGCCGTGATGACGACCAGAGTGAGCCAGCTGCTGAAGTACTGGCAGGAATACACAAGGCCCGGCCCGCCGTGCTGAGAGGGTAATCACCACAGCAACAATTGCTACTTCCTCTTTGGAAAAGGGAAACCATGGAGACACTTCCTGTATGTTCCCCTTCCTGGAAATGTGGAATTTGAACTTTGGGTAAGAGACATTAGCTCTTGCGTAAGAGACAAATCTGTTCGGTCTTGTTGGGAGATCCGTAGGTTGTTTGTTATTTTGCTAATGTATGCCTCAACCCCTCCCTTTACATTGACTGTTGTGCAGTGAAGGTGGATAGGTTTGGGAGAGGGCTTACTGGGCCTTTCTCAATACCTTTCATCTGCTACATGCTGCAACAAAAAGAGCCCTCGCTGCATATTTATATTATACCTTAGAGCCTTAAGGCTGGATTCTATCAGATCCGCACTAGCCGACACCTGCATAGCGGTTATTTTGGTGGTGTCAGAGGTGGAACTGTCAAATCCACAAGCGGCTCCCGGCATTATACCTAAAGCGGACATTGCCATTGGCTGCAAGGAGTGGCACAAGAAATCCGATGCAGCCTTGTTTATTAGTTTGGCAACACTTTACTTGACACACAGCATCATAACATGTTATGACACTGTCATAACCATGTCATAACAGCTGACATAACTTGTCATAACCTGTTATAATATGGTCATAACACTGTCATGACACATATAGTTAGACCTGTTGAAGTCGGAAGTTTACATACACCTTAGCCAAATACATTTAAACTCAGTTTTTCACAATTCCTGACATTTAATCCTAGTACAAATTCCCTGTCTTAGATCAGTTAGGATCACCACTTTTATTTTAAGAATGTGAAATGTCAGAATAATAGTAGAGTGATTTATTTCAGCTTTTATTTCTTTCATCACATTCCCAGTGGGTGAGAAGTTTACATGCACTCAATTAGTATTTGCTAGCATTGCCTTTAAATTGTTTAACTTGGGTCAAATGTTTTGGGTAGCCTTCCACAAGCTTCCCACAATAAGTTGGGTGAATTTTGGCCCATTCCTCCTGACAGAGCTGGTGTAACTGAGTCAGGTTTGTAGGCCTCCTTGCTCGCACACGCTTTTTCAGTTCTGCCCACACATTTTCAATAGGATTGAGGTCAGGGTTTTGTGATGGCCACTCCAATACCTTGACTTTGATAATAATAATAATAATAATAATAATGTCCTTAAGCCATTTTGCCACAACTTTGGAAGTATGCTTGGGGTCATTGTCCATTTGGAAAACCCATTTGCGACCAAGCTTTAACTTCCTGACTGATGTCTTGAGATGTTGCTTCAATATATCCACATCATTTTCCTTCCTCATGATGCCATCTATTTTGTGAAGTGCACCAGTCCCTCCTGCAGCAAAGCACCCCCACAGCATGATGCCACCACCCACGTGCTTCACGGTTGGGATGGTGTTCTTCGGCTTGCAAGCATCCCCCTTTTTCCTCCAAACATAACGATGGTCATTATGGCCAAACAGTTCTATTTTTGTTTCATCAGACCAGAGGACATTTCTCCAAAAAGTACGATCTTTGTCCCCATGTGCAGTTGCAAACCGTAGTCTGGCTTTTTTATGGCGGTTTTGGAGCAGGCACTTCTTCCTTGCTGAGTGGCCTTTCAGGTTATGTCGATATAGGACTCGTTTTACTGTGGATATAGATACTTTTGTACCTGTTCCATTACACCATAGCCTACGTGTCAACAGTATGTTTAAGTTATTTATATATATATATTTTAAAGATGACCATATAAAATTATCATTGTACTTGCGCACACATTGTTGTCAGACATGCACCTAGCGCAGCTGTAAGCAAGCGGGTAGGATCTGCTGGCTACCATACGGCAGGGACAGACTGCTTACTGGTGGCGGATTGTGTGCCCTGTCATAGGGGGTGTATTCATTCTGACGATTCAGTTGCAATACTTTTCTTAAATGGAACGAAACGGGGAGGGACTTACCTGAATTTGTCCAATAAAGTTCTGTTGTGCAACAGAATCAGTGGAAGGAGTACTCCCCAGCTGATTTGACTGAGCGTTGGGACATCTCTATGCGCAGGTGTGGTAGAAATGGGATTGAACCCAAAAATCGGCATAACCCTGTAGCTCGGCAAGAGCAATTGTTACCTGTTTCAAGAAGCTAGGCGTATGTCGCACATCACTTCTTCATAGGAGAGGCATTTCAAAGTAATTTATTTTATTTGATCAAAATGCGCTTTTTGGCAGAAATGCCTTCTGGAACATGTGCCTTAATAACAAAGGGCATGTATTTAAGTGTTGATCTAGGATCAGTTAAGCATTTTAGATAATAATGAATAAGCTTACATGGACAGGGGGCAACCTGATCCTATATCAGCACTCCTATTCTAAGATGATTTATGAGTACTGGCCCTGTACGCTGGTTAACCATTAACAAAGAAGCCATAACTACTGGTATTACGCTACTGGCTGACATTGCATATTCTCAGGGTATTGTTGTTCCCGATTTCTATATTCTTTAACGATATTGTGTGAAATGTACATAAGGTGTATCTTTTAGGAACCAAACGTGGGGTATCATGCTATGCTAAAAAGGTGCTATCTAGAACTGAAAAGGTTATTCGGATGTCCACATCGGAGAACTCTTTAAATAACCCTTTTTGCTTCCAGGTAGAACCCTTTCCACAGAGTTCTATATTGAACCCAAAAGGGTTATTCTACTTGGAACCAAAATGGTTCTCCTATGGGGACAGCCGAATAACCCTTTAGGAACATTTGTTTCTAAGAGTTTAGTTTTTACAGTAAAACGATCAAATTAAGGGATAAATGAAGGAATCAAATGTTTTGTGCTGTATACCAGGGGTATTCAACTCTTACCCTACGGGGTCCGGAGCCTGCTGGTTTTCTGTTCTACCTGATAATTAATTGCACCCACCTGGTGTACTATGTCTAAATCATTCCCTGATCAGAGGGGAACAATGAAAATGCAGTGTATCTGGCTTGGAGGTCCAGAGTGTAGTTTGACGGCTGTATACTCTGGATTCTGACACGTCATTGTGTAGTGAAAGTGCACCACCTAAAGGTAGCTGCCTGTCTTCAGTATGCTGTATGATTCATTATAAACACATTTACTAAGCATTTGTACCAGTGTAGTTTGGACCTCTTCTTTTTCAAACAGTGCTATCTACCCCAATCTCCTCATCCATGTAACAAACATCAGTAAAATAAACTTCACCTAGGAAACATTCTCCATCTGACACACTGGTTTTTCATCTGACTCACCATTTCTCCACTACCAGCCTCGACTGATTGGATGTGTGTTGAGTTTGAATGGTTAACAGTAACTTCATTGGCGTGTGTAATCTAATCATACTACCACCAGGGGGTGCCCAAACATCAGGTATAGTGAAGAAGACATACAGTAAAGACACATTACACACATGGGGGTAGTAGTATGCTCTAACTTCATCTTACCAGTGTGACCACAACATAGACGTTTAACATAGATTTACGTGTATGGCATATATTTGGAAAGAGGAGGAGGGGGGGTGGAACATACAGTAGACAGTTTTAGAGGAGAACAGAGGGGAGAGACGGGTGGAGGAGAGGGGAGATGAATTCCATGCTGTCACAGTCACTAGCCCATTCAAGTTTACATCCTTATGATTTATCGCCCTCCAGGTTCCCTTGGAGAGTTCATCAATGAGCTTGACGCCTTGATAAGTTCCTTTCCTGAGGATGGCTCACCTCTCACAGTTCTGGGTGACTTTAACCTCCCTACGTCTGCCTTTGACTCATTTCTCTCTGCCTCCTTCTTTCCACTCCTTTCCTCTTTTGACCTCACCCTCTCACCGTCCCCCCCCTACTCACAAGGCAGGCAATACGCTTGACCTCATCTTTACTAGATGCTGTTCTTCTACTAATCTCACTGCAACTCCCCTCCAAGTCTCCGACCACTACTTTGTAGCCTTTTCTCTCTCGCTCTCCTCCAACACTACTCACTCTGCCCCTACTCAGATGGTAATGTGCCATCACAACCTTCGCTCTCTCTCTCCCGCTACTCTCTCCTCTTCCATCCTATCATCTCTTCCCTCTGCTAAATCCTTCTCCCTCCGATCTCCTGAGTCTGCCTCCTCAACCCTCCTCTCCTCCATTTCTGCATATTTTGACTCTCTATGTCCCCTGTCCTCCCGGCTGGCTCGGTCCTCCCCTCCTGCTCCGTGGCTTGACGACTCATTGCGAGCTCACAGAACAGGGGTCCAGGCAGCCGAGCGGAAATGGAGGAAAACTAGACTCCCTGCGGACCTGTCATCTTTTCACTCCCTCCTCTCTACATTCTCTTCCTCTGTTTCCGCTGCTAAAGTCACTTTCTAACACTCTAAATTGCAAGCCTCTGCCTCTAACCCTAGGAAGCTCTTTGCCACCTTCTCCTCCCTGCTGAATCCTCCTCCTCCTCCCCCTCCCTCTCTGTGGATGACTTCGTCAACCATTTTGAAAAGAAGGTTAACGACATCCGATCCTCATTTATTAAGTCAAATGACACCGCTGGTCCTGCTCACACTGCCCTACCCTATGCTTTGACTTCTTTCTCCCCTCTCTCTCCAGATGAAATCTTGTGACTTGTGACGGCCGGCCGCCCAACAACCTGCCCGCTTGACCCTATCCCCTCCTCTCTTCTCCAGACCATTTCCGGAGACCTTCTCCCTTACCTCACCTCGCTCATCAACTCATCCTTGACCGCTGGCTATGTCCCTTCCGTCTTCAAGAGAGCGAGAGTTGCACCCCTCCTAAAAAAAACTACACTCGATCCCTCCTATGTCAACAACTACAGACCGGTATCCCTTCTTTCTTTTCTCTCAAACTCTTGAGCGTGCCGTCTCTAGTCAACTCTCCTGCTATCTCTCTCAGAATGACCTTCTTGATCCAAATCAGTCAGGTTTCAAGACTGGTCATTCAACTGAGACTGCTCTTCTATGTGTCACGGAGGCTCTCCGCACTGCTAAAGCTAACTCTCTCTCCTCTGCTCTTATCCTTCTAGACCTATCTGCTGCCTTTGATACTGTGAACCATCAGATCCTTCTCTCCACCCTCTCCGAGTTGGGCATCTCCGGCGCTGCTCACTGTTGGATTACTACCAGGTGGCGTGGCGAGAATCTTTCTCCGCACCACGTGGTCTCACCACTGGTGTTCCTCAGGGCTCAGTTCTAGGCCATCTCCTATTCTCTCTATACACCAAGTCACTTGGCTCTGTCATATCCTCACATGGTCTCTCCTATCATTGCTACGCAGACGACACACAATTAATTTTCTCCTTTCCCCCTTCTGATAACCAGGTGGCGAATCGCATCTCTGCATGTCTGGCAGACATATCAGTGTGGATGTCGGATCACCACCTCAAGCTGAACCTCGGCAAGACGGAGCTGCTCTTCCTCCCGGGGAAGGACTGCCCGCTCCATGATCTTGCCATCAC